GGCCGCATCCGGCCCCCGGGCCTTAGGTTGCCTACCCCTGACCTAAGGTTTGCTCGCTTCGTAAGGGGATAACCAGCCAAGCACTGAAGAATAGAGAGCAAAAACTCAAGGCGGCTCTCTGGGAGCAAGCCCTGAGGCCTTCTTCAGCTCCTGTGCTCCATTCCCCGCATGAGCCTCAACCTTCTTCTTCAGGCTCTGATTCCCTATAAATAATCATATATCAAAGTACAATAGCACCCCATATTATTATTATTATTATTATTATTATTATTATTATTATTATATTATACAGTATTATAAAGCATTAACAATGTGTGTATATGTATCAACGTACAATAGCATCCCAAATCCACAAAACAGGGATATCTTTTTTTGGGGGGGCCATTATATTTTATTAACATGTATTATTCAAACATGCCTATCAAGTTGAAATATTAATATCTTTTACAATAATTATATACAAAATATTTACATTTGACTTCCAAAGTATCTCCAGTTTGTACTCAACTATACTTCAAAGTTCGCTCATTATCTTCATATACAGGCAATTTCACATATTAACTCCCCTGTGCGTTATAACGTCCGCTTTAACCATTTTTGATCTTTAATAATAGTTATTATAAATGTTTTCTGTTAGTATTCACATACTATTTTTAAGTCACTTAATATTTTACATTTTCCAATCAATTTATCTCTACTCAATTAAATTTTCTTTTTTACAGTATTGCAATATCGGAGTCCAGTCTTGTTCAACACATTATTATTATTATTATTATTATTATTATTATTATTATTATTATTATTATTATTATAGCGGTGAGTATATCCATACTCATCATTCCAATAAGCCTTGTAAACCATTCACTGGTTGATGGCACTTCTATTAGTTTCCATTTTTTTGCTAATGTCATCCGAGCTGAAGTTATCATATATAATAGTATTCTCCCATATTTCCTCTCAATTTTTTCTGGGATCTTATTTGTCAGGTTCAATAAGTAAATTTCTGGTATCATGTCATATCTTATTTTAAATATTTCACAAATTACCTTACGAATAGTCATCCAATATTTCCTTCCTTTATCACAATTCCACCATACATGTAACCAATTTCCTGCAGTTTGATTACACTTCCAACATCTATTATTGCCATTTTTATGAACTTT